TATCTCCATGCCATGCCAGTGTCTGAAGCCTAAGGAAGCTTCTCACCAGGTCACCATAGCAGACAGATTTGTTTCCAAAATTCACTAAGAGATTTTCCAGGGAGTTGCTTCCCTGTCCCCAGCACAGCTGTGTAAAACTCACACAAACTTACAGGATTCAAGCTACCTCAGCATTTTCTTTCACTTGCAATGAATGCAATTTTTTTTCAAGTGCTCAGTTTTGTTCATCAAAATGGTATTTTATGTTTAGTCAATTATTCATTCTAGCTATAACAAGGAGAGCAATATAGAGTTCAAAATATGCTCCAGATGGTAAAAACACAAATCAGAAATAAATCAATTTATTAAAAAGGAAGACATTTGTTTTTATTGCCATAATTTAACTTTAAAATATCCACACGCTTCCTTCTGGTTCTAAATTACCCCAAAATACTTTGAGCTAATACCCCACTGAATCTGGAGAAATTGAGAACTCACTGGTTTGGTTTTTTTTATAAAACAGTGTGATGTCAGACGCCAAAATAATTCACATCAGAAATACACTTTTAGGGAGCAAAACACTTCATCACACTGAGACTGCTCTCAGTGTACATTAGTAAAAGGAACACACTTACTCTAAACCCAAAATGAGCCATGCCTGGAGAGGAGATGAAGCCAGATAACGAAGCCAGACCAGAGACTGAGAAAGGATAAAAGTGGAATGTGACCCTGCATTTTTAAACAGTGATAAGAAAAGAGCCTGATCTTACTATTATACTATTCTGGCACAGTTCATTTTTTTTTCAAATTGAATTATGCTATCTTCAATATCAAACACATTCTGGCAGGTGTCTGGCTTAACAGTTTTGAATATAATTTCAAATTTCCACAGCACTAATGCATAAATTTAAGTGTAGACTGGAACCAAGTGTCTGTCCATAGTTCTGAGAGCAACACCACATTTACATTTTGTCATTTATTCCACTTAACAACCAGCAATACCAAGGTGATGCTGCTATTTTCAATTACTAATAGTCACACAAAAATGAACTTTAAAATAATTGACAACACTTTGCTGAGGACCACATCCACATATGCAGAGCTTAACAGGAAAACCTCTGCATTAAAATTATATAATCATTCTCACTTCAAGTAACACGATCAAGGAACTCCAGCATAGATGATTTTTTTTTTTTTAGCTCTAGCAACAATGTTTACACTAGAGGCAAGCACATATTACAGGTAAAGAAATATTTGCTCCAGCACAAACCCATATTTATTTGGCCACTAAACCATTCACAAAGTTTTTACAGTCATTATCCCAAAGAAATTAAAAGAAATAAACATTCAGAAAAAAGCAAGACTTAAAAAAAAACATGAAACAGTCAAGTTTCTAAATCTTAGAACAACTCAGGACAAACCTAGCTAAATTCAACTCCAGAGACAATAACCAGCAGTAAAGTCATCAACTGAATTTACCCAAGTCTACCACTGTAAGATTTTGCCTAGCTTGTGCAGGAATATTCTTTATAATAGAAACCTTGCATGGGAAGAAAAACAAACCAACCAGAACAAAAAAAAGAAAAAATGAACACAGTATGATATAACCACTAAACAAAAAAGTACAAAATGGGCTATTTGAGAAAAATTTCTAAACTGAACTCGAATTATTCACACAAGCAAGGGTATGCACAATCAGGCCCATAGGAACTGAGCAAAATAAACATATCAACTCATTAAAGATCTATCTGCCTGAATTTATCTTGGCTTTCTCTTCAGTTCCTGTGAGTTATTCAATCACTTCCCATCACCCAGAAAAGGAAATATTGCACTATGAAGACAGAGCTATAATTAGATATTCTTCTATTTCATTTCACATATATGACTGAATGAGAATGGATGGGAAAAACATGAACAGAGACAATAATAGTTAGTTGAAACATTCAGTAAAAAATACATTTGGCACAGAATAACATCTCAATTCTTCCTCAGCACATAATGCTGTGTTTACTGCAAAATTAGTTAAGTTAGTATAAGAGATTTTTAATGAAAACAATTATAAATTTAAAATAACTGTGTTTAAAGCATTTAACAGTCCCTAAGGTCAAGTGATTACAGCAGTTACAAGACCCGAGGGACATGTTCACACCAAAACCAAGTGAATAAATTACCTCAGCCTGTGTGTGTAATCACTAAGTGACCACAGAGGTTATTCAATGCATAAGCCCAGATGACTTCCATGCAAAACCAATAATGAAAATGTAACAGCCAAAGGGAAAAAGCATTTAACTAGCAAAAGTTGCTGGAAGGGCTGAGAACTTGGAAGAGTGGGAAAGAGAGTGTGGAAAGCAAACTCCATGGCTTGGCTGTGCAGACAAGGAAGAAGGGACAGACAAGATGCCAAACATTTTTCCCAGGTGAAAGACCCAAACTGTTGCAAAGGGATGCAAGACTCAAAAAATACAAAAGTTCAGAGCTTTAAGCAGTGCTCTCAGCACTGTATAACTCTGGCATATGTAATGCCCAGTGAAGTACAAGCAAGGCAGGAGCACAGAATAATCATCTTTTAACTTTCCCCTTGGCTTTACTGCCAGGAAAAATTATGGACAGTTATTGTGTTTTAGTTATGCCATGATATAATTGTAATGGAGGCAAGACCCTGGTTTTTAGCACAGAGTAGGTAAGATAAGCTGCAGAATGAAAGCCAGCTTTGATCTGGCTTCTCTCCCTCATGACATAAATGATACAGATGCCTTGTCTTCATTGCAGCTTCACAGCACAATCACTGGTGGAGAAAACCAGACCCATGAAAGACAGGAAAACATTTTTCTATCATTTTTCTGTATTTGATGGCAGTTCTCAGTGGAATAGTTTTGGAATAAGGTTCCTACCAACTATGGTGAAAAAAGATGCTACTGAGGAAGCAAAAGGAATCCTGCTTGCTCCTGCCTGCCACTGGTATGTATTCTTTTTAACTACTGCATATCACCACCTCACATCACTGAAGGTGTTAAATCTTCACAACACACACAGTAAATAATAACATAGTAAATGGTAAAACACAAAAAACACATTTTGCAGATAGGAAGCTGAAAAGAGAGGCAAAAGGACATGCCTGACTTCAGTGTTTTGATTCCTGGTGAGGATGCACTGAAGCAAATATTCACCAACATTCCTACAGGTGAATCAATTTGCTGTCTCACCCCATGCCAGGAACCTAAGAACAGGTATTGTCATATAAAAAAATGTTCTCTGCATCTGAAATAGGAAAGCCTGAGGCCAAAGCCAGCAGGCCCTCACACAGCCAAAGATTCCAGTTTCAGTGAAACTGCAAAATCTGCTTTCTCAGATGAATATTATATTGTCTCCTATAAGAACTATGCAGAGATGCTAAGAAAGCCCCTTGGTAAGTTATTGAGGCTGGAACATGACCTATTCAAAGGGTTCTAAGTCTTCTGTTGGGAATGTTAAGTCAAGGACCTATGTGTTAAAATAATATCATGATGAGCCCCGTTAGATACAAGGAATGCCAAGTGGCTGCCAGCACTGCAAGATTGCCCACGGAAGGGTGGAAGCATCCTGGCACATTATTTGGGTTGGCTTTCTGCAGCACTGAGTGTCTTCAAATGCCAGGCACTGGCCACAGGCTCTGGCTGTATCAAAACAGCATTTGTGAAATTACTCAGGGGCCAAAGAGGAACTCAGGGGGCCAAACACTGCTCTTAGCAATGCCCTCATGGAGATCTGTGCTCTCCAAAAGGCAATTCCTCTTCTGGAGCTGCAATTACATGCCCAGAAAAACGATAGTTTTGAGCCTGTCAAATCTAGTATCACTTTCTAGAAATAAGAACAATCAAGCTAAGTTAAAGTGATATGATTAGAAAGCCCCATTCCCATATGCACAGCAAAAGAAAAGAAGGACAAACACTCATTAATTTAGGGTTATGGAAAACAGAGGTCAGGTAAAAAGAAGAGTATGAAGAAAACACAAAGAGGGATGACCAGGCAGACAGTGTAGAAGTTCTTCTATTTAAAAATTTCTTTTGCAAATCCAAATGTTCCTTACATATCTCTTGAAGAGTCAGCCAAGAAAGTCCAACACAATAAAATTAGTCTATTAAAGGCACGTAGAGATGTTGCCATCACACAGTAGGCAAGAGAGAATGCAGTAAAACCTGAGGACAAAGCTATGCTTTGAAATATTTTTTAAATGATACTGTAAATTAATTCGAATGTATTTTTGAAAATCAGCTGATCAAGTCACCTTCAGCTCTGGGTATTTCTAGAGCAAGAGGTGACCTGGCAGTGCACAGCCAGCCTGCCAGTGGCATTCACAACAGGAGCCTCCCACACAAGTTCCCTCCTTCCTTTTGGTTTTCTGCTGTTGCTATTTAATTGCCCTCAATTCTAGCAATATGCTGTCAGGGCACTGCTGTCAAACACAGCAGAATATGAAAGGTATCCTCCCAAAGAGATGCTGACTGCCCGTGATCAAAGCCAGAATGCCAGTACTCCAACTCAAAGGGGCAAGCACGTGAATATCACCCCCAAAAAAATTCTCCTCTTCCAAACAGTATTATTGATTCTGTATCGTGGAAGAAGGACTTTCATCATTTCCAAGTATGTTGTAACTTCCAGCACTGCTTTAAGTTATAGCAAACCCAAAATACAGTGAGCAGCAGTTTTGGCTGTGGATACAAAACCCCCCAGCATCAAGTAATGGGACCCTGTGTCCTTTGTATGAGGTGCCACCAACCTCCTCAGCACTCCCAGAGGGCTCCACAGCTCTTGTCGTGCAATGACAGAATCTTTTCCCCAAGGTAATGCAGAAATACAGCAAAGTCTCTGAATTTGTCTTAATTAACAGAATTATACTGAGGCTAGAAACAGCACATCACATGAGGAGAAGTGAAGTAAGGGTGGGGGGAGATTTTCGAGTGCCCTAATTCAATTAGGAGGCAGTGACTGACACTTGGACAGGAGAGGTTAATTGGGGTCACCAAAACGCAGTAATTCCTTACCTAACCAGTCATTAAACTTCTTAACCTCAGAGGGCAGTCCCAGCTCGGTGAAATCGCCCGTGTGAAGAAGGATGTCCCCATAAGGCATCTGGATGCCATCTGTTCTGGAGTGCGTGTCTGAGACGCAGACAAAGCGCGTGTGGCCCGCTGGCTTTGGAGTGTCATATGGGATGGGGTCGACCCTAGAGCAGACACAAAGATCTCGTAACAGTCACAAGGTTAAAACCCTCACATCCATTATTTCAGATATCAGCACACATCTCTCTCGACAAAAGCATCCACACATCCACTGACACACACCCTGCTCTGCAACAACACTGCCAAAAACCCGGGAGGGACCGCAGTGCTGCTTACAAACTTACCTGGTAAGGAAAAGAAATTAAATTATACACAAGATATGGCACTTTCTGATACTAAAGAGTACGTAAACATTGGGAAGAAATGGATTTAGGAGGCTTTGAATTCAGATTTTTTTACATCCTGTGCCTTATTCGTGAACAGGTACAAGGGCCATGAAATAAGAGGTCTCACAGGTGGGGCAGGAACAGGCTCTCACCTGAGCTTAGCAGCTGGTTTTGTTCAAGGGCATATGTACTCCTACAGATTCCAGAGCAGAGCATTTGTTTACACACAATAAGGTACATTCAGGAGTGCTTTGATGAAGGCTGGAAACTGCAGAACCAAATCTAGTGACAGCTTCCTAAACTCATACAAAATCCCGAGCTCATCTTCCCAGAATCTATAAAGTCAGGAACTGATGTGCTATCACACTAAGCAACCACATATAAAACCTTTTTTTTTATTATTTATAGCCAACAATGCTAAAAATTTAGGTCAATTGGTTATTTGCAAGCTATACTTGGTGATTTGATCTTATCAATTACATGTGACCCATCATGGAAGTCTGGTCATTTGGGTTTTGGTCTTTTTTTTTTTTTTCTTTTTTTTTTAAGCAGAATAAAGAAAAATAATATGTAAGAGAAATGCTTTATGCATACTTAGCGGTTAGAAGCTCTAATTTGTAACAGAATAACTTAAATACAAAAGGCAACCCATTCCCTACTTTGGAATAGCAATTATTTCTCTGCAGAGTTACCATAATATGATTTGCTCAACACTTGAATAGCACAGCATCTGGATTAGTGCCACAGAAAATCCCATCTCAGTTCCACAAAACTTCAGCTCATTCCATTGATGTGCCACTTTGATCATGGTTAGAGCTTAGCTTCAGCTAGAAATTTTGAGGTATTTAGGAGTTATGTCAGAATAATAGTCCACTTACGTCTCAAATTATCAGGCTAGTGAAAGTAAGCTCCAGCTACTTTAAAGCATCCAAAAGAATGCTGTTCTAAGACTTATTTGGACAAACTGGCACAACAGGCACTCAAAAATAGGTGCCTGAAAATAAAAATAAACAGGTTTTATTAGTTTTGCCGTGCACACTGAAAAGAAAAACCAGTAGACATCACTGTGAATTTGTCCTAAATCCCCATAGTTATAATGAGATGTATGATCAGTAATAAAAAGTAAAGCACAAACCTTGAGAAAATACTCACTTTTTAAGATTACTTTTGTTTGCTGAATAAACCAAATTAGCATTTAGTTTTTACTTTACACTGAACTGTGTGAAAACTTCTACCAATGCTCCCTGCATAGGTGAGAAAGACCAGAAGCATCCTCCAGGATGCAAATCAGTTCCCTGAGGGCTGAACTCTGGGGAGTTTTACAGTGGTTCCAGAAATCAGACTCTCTATGGATATGTCCTGGTCTCCAGTGGAAAACTGTCCCTGTGAATGCACTTTACTAAGTAGATTTTACTGAGTTAGAATTTAATTTTGTTAGAATTTTTAAATTATATTAAATAATTATTATACTTGTTAGACTATTCACAGCTAAAATATTAGTGGGGGAAGCAGTAGGGGGGAGATATTTGTTAGACTGCATTTTCCTAGGTGCCATAATTAGGTCCTTCCAATCAAGCTGTATTTACCATAAAAGTACCACACTTCATTGACAAGGGCCACTGAATTAATTTGCAAAATTCAGGCTCTCCAAGATGATGCTTATTTTAAAAACAGATTCGACTGCCAGCTGGACTGGAGAGAAGAGAATTTGGTAGATAACTCTTTTTGGGGTTTGGTACTGTACCCCCTGTTCCACCCAAAGCACCAGGTACAATTACCTGAGCCATGCAACTGGTTACCAGTGCAGAAAACCATGACAAAAACCTACCAATCAATGGATTTGTTTTTCTCAGCAATGATCTGAAATTAATAAGGCTATTATTCCAGAGAAAAAATAATTTACCCATTGAAATTAGATTTGCAAGCTGGGCAGAACTGCAGTCAGAGGCCATAGTGCTTTTCTACATGGTGTCTTCCTTCCAAAATATGGGGGTCCCCAGATCAACATTTCCCTACTTCCAAGCATGTTTACTGCAGACAGCACAAAAAATGACCACCAGCTTTCATCTTCACCACAGAACTCGTTCAGAGTATCTGCTTGAGCTATGACCAGCACTGCCTGCCCTGGGGAGTCCAATTTTGTTTGTACACAGCAGCTCTGCTTTTCCTATTCTCTGCAGTTTGCAGCCAAACAAACCCTGTTCTGCTTGAGGCAACCCCTATTAGAGTACGGCACTGAAATCTGGTTTAGGATTTTTCTACTCATGCAATGACTTACTTACAGAAAATTCTATAATCAAAATTCATTAAGTGGCTGACCCTTCTTTCTGTTCTTTACAAACACTTTGGTGTTGCCAAGTAACCTTTATTTTATGTCTTAGCTTCCTTCTCTTATTCAGGAGTGCTTGCCTACTAAGTATTTCAAAGTGAGATACTGAAGGTTATTGTGTTCAGTCCATCAATTTATCTTACTCAAAATTGTCCTTCAATAGAAACTTAATAAAAGTGGTGTTATTGCCAGTCCTAAAGGCTCAAGTTTTGTTTTCAGCTGCAGCATGGCACACAGCAATATGAGAGTCTCCTTTCCCACTGCATCCCGAGAGGGCTGGGCTCTGCAGGCACTGCCCTTTCCCAGCTCCTGCTGACACTGCTCACTGCAGCTGCTGGGCTGGGATCCACTCACAAACCAGCAGCTGGGGGTGACACACTGGCATTGCTGAAACCTCTGGGACAGTTCATGCATCTGACCCTTACTGCAGTTCAACAGCAGATAAAATAATTATTTTAGCCCCATCCACCACCATTCCACTGAATCAGAACAGGCTAAGAAATTCAACTTATTCTTTACCTTTGCTCCAAACAGTGCATCCAGCTAACTCTGACACTCTCCATCACCACCAACACTTTATTTTTTTCAATCTTCTTGACATGGCAGACTAAAACACTTCACAGATTATTTGATTACTGCATTTGGAACAGCATGCTCATGGAAAGATGCAGCAAAAGATATTTCAGAATAATTTAAATGTTCATTAGGATTAATATAGCAATCAGGAACCGGAAAACAACATAAGTTATGTTGCACCTTAGAAATTCAGGCACTTGGCTGTTTTTAAAAAGTTTATGTAAGACCCAGAATGAAATCCCATAAGGCAGTTGAGCAATGACTGCTTTGTGAGATCATGACAGTAATGTAAGATCTGTCACATTTAATGCATTTATGACAAGGGTTCAGGAATCAGAAGGGACAATGTAACCTTCATACACTTCTAGAAGAACCTTGTTTATCAGATAAATACTTGGCTTTACTAAACTGCCCTTACCACCAGTGGTTCTCATTTAGAGTAAGAGTCCCTCAGGTACAAAGCTCCAATTTGCAGCTCCTCACACACTGCATGCAGCAACAGCACCATCCAGGCTCTGGGTTGGCCTGCTCAGGTATCACTGAGCAGCCCCTCCCCAAACCCAGAGCAGCCTCAGCCCTTCCAAGGCAGTGGGTGTGTGTAAGCAAGGGGTGAGTGCTGTCCCTTGCCCTGTCACCTGTGCCCAGTGGCACTGCTCCATCCTGGGGCTGTACCTGTGCTCCCCATCAGACAGCAAATCTCACCATGCCCTTAAAAGCCAGAGGTTAAATAAGGATGAGCAACACAGACGATATCAAGGGGGTTTGAACAGAAAGGTAGTGGGGGCTGAATTTAGGAACTCACAAAAGAGGAGCACCTTGGGCCTTTCACAGGCACAGGGGCAAAGGACATTGTTTAGGATGTCATGCTAAGAACAGACGTGTTAACTGTGCATTTCAGCCCAGGCCTACACCAGTTACTCATAATGATGTCTTATAAATCAGCAGTGCTGGAAAGCTGCTCTGAGACAGGCAGGACACAGACACAGCTGCAGGCACAGCCACACTGCAACCCTGCTCCAAAAAACTCAGAAAATACACAAGCATCATGGGCCTGAAAGGAGTCAGTTTTGATTGTACAGGATAATTCTGCATGGGTGAGTTCAAATGCTGAAAATAAAGGTCTTGGGCTGGGTTAACCAGTCCCTGGGAATGCCTGTGGTTGGAGAGCCAAACCCCACAGACTGTTTGTTCACTGCCCTGCTCTCTCAGGTTTTGAGACATGCAGACTCCAAATCCCCTCTCAGAGAGGGATTCCCAAGAAACCAATTCATCCTTGAAGACGGAATAAAAATCTTAAACATTAAGCCAGGAAAAATTTCCAGTTCCTAATATTGAGTAAATCACTCAGATGAATGCAGCACCTGACACCAGACAAAACATTAACAGATGCTGAAAACCCCTCCTGCAGCCCCACTGCCCACAGCTCAAATCAGCATTATTCCTGCAGGCAGCTTCTGCTGGCATTGCTACAGGTGAACAAGCAAGCAGGCAGCACAGAAAACCACATAATGTTACTCTTCCTGGGCTCTCCAGATCCATGAATATTCCCATGTCCTTCCCAGATTGTATCACATCATATGCTGGCTTTTCATCTCCATAATTACTCCACTGGGTATATGTGAGACTGAATTTGTGGGTTTATTTTTTATGACATCTAAATAAGTATTCATTATACATCGAGGCACAGACTTCAAGTCTGTGTGCCACATAAAATCCATGTGTGCTGTTGCACTTCCTCTGTTTTGGGAGTCACTTGGAGACATCCTATCTAGTAACTGCTCCATATTTAAAGCATTTCTATATAATTAGCTTCTTAAAAGCATCCTACTCATACTTCCTGTGAATAGTCATCATTGTATTTATTTACAGTTTA